TTATTGTTTGCTGTTTCTATAACTACATTCATTTTTCCAGGTATAGACTGATGAAATAGCACGTTATAGGAACCATGATAACGTATTTGGCGGTGTTGTTACACAAACTGTCAAGTCAGCACTGGTGTTGATAAAGAAAAGACAGCTTTTATTTTGGTAGTAAAGGTGACAGGTTTTTTTTTTATTTATTTTTTTATTGAGCATGAGGTTAGAATGAAACACGAAGCGCACCCACTGATCGTAGAGATCGCAACGGCATTTATTAGGTCGCAGGAGAAAATATAATTACGTAAACTATAGTACTTTTTTTTTTGCTTTTATGCTAAATGTAAATGTTCATATTCATGAGCAAAACTGTGATGTCATTCCGGGCAGAACCTTGAATGTTACAGCTATTTCAGCTCAAACAGTTGCTAGAATTTTTGATATGTTGCTGTTTTAAATTTTCTTTTCTTTGGTGATTCGTTGTTGTGTCAGTACATGCATGGCAGTAAGCAAATGAGCAAACCTTTCTCACAAATCTTTCAAATGTTTTCCAAACCCCTGAACTTAACAGTGTCTTCCTGAAATGACATCACAGCAACAGTGACCTCAGTTGTCCAGAAAAGCATGCACAACTTAAAATCTATAGTAAAGAAGTCCAATTTTTAACCAAAAAAGGATGACAAATAGGTTTGGAAAGTTGCACAAAATGTGTTCCCAAGAAATGTTCATCGCATGGACTCTTTAAGTAACTTATGTGCGATAATTAGTTGGTTTCGAACTCTGACATGGAACATGGCGTTTGTGTTCTTGCGAAAGATACTTTGCTACAATTGCCTTTCTTCACCCATGAGTCCGTGAGGCTAGACACCAGATTGCGCTGATCTTGAGCTGCTGCAGGAAACTGTCTCATTGCCTGATGAACAGGGGTAATACTAATCATTGAGAAGCCCTTCGAGACTTTGGTATGCAGCACTATATGCTCTTAAATTTCGTTTCCTATCCTACGTTGGTTCTTGGAAGAGTATTGTCAGGGAAAAGAATATCCAATGTTTTGTAAACTGCAGAGTTTAGTCCTAGCTATATATTATGACACTAAAGTCGTGCCGTCTGCAATAAAATAGAGTGACGTCTGCAGAGTGAATGACCCATGTACCTATTGGTATGTTACACCATACGACTCACAAAAGACCACAGAACCCAGCAGGTTCTACCACGGACCATGGTCCGTGGTTCTACAAAGACTCACAGCCCATAAAAATATAAACGTCTTCACATATAGTCCCATGTGAGAGCGCTGGTAACAAAAATAAAACATGAGATAACTTTTTTAAAAAATCAACAACTTTGGGAGAAGCCAATGTCGCAGCACAGTCATTCATAAATAATGGTACAAGCTATTTAAACCTTTTCACTATAAATTTTTCATGAACCTAAAACGTGAAGCCCGCACGTTTTGTACGGTATGCGATTTCTTCAGTGTTTTTAAAGGGAGTATAAAAACTGCACAGCTGCAGTATGCAAAATGTTTTTGGACAAATTAGTGTGACATGCATTTCTCTTGTAAACATTCTGAACACTTGTATTATGACTTTCTTTTAATACAATAGGCAATAATGTCGTCATTGTTCTGGAGGCCATATCATTAATTACGGTGCAAGTCTTGAGTATTCAAGGCCTAACTTAAGGAAGGTTTGGATTAACGGTGACAAAACTTAAGGTCAAAACTTAAGGACGGACGACGACAGCAATTGGAATCAGCGTGTTTTTGTCGTCACACCAGTGGGCTATATTCACGGCTCGTCAACTAGTGGACGACCGCTATCCAGGGCAACAAAAAGGATAGTGCCGACCACTGCTTTGTCAACGTTACCACTGCTTTGTCAATGTTAACAAGGCGAACTAAACACGAGTATTCGCTCCATGTGGGCAGTCAAAGGCCAACCTCGCGCCCACCTTGCTATACATTAGCTGACTTGTGTTGCAAGGTCGATAGCATTTGTTATGTTACGTAATCTCAAACCAAGCCACTTCAAACTATTTTGGGGTGCTTTTTTTTAACACAACGATATGGGGGTCTACAAAGCTTACACGAAAAACTTATACAAAGTTGTGAATAGGTTCTTTTCTTCATGTGTTTTTAATGTTTGCAAAGTGTACTGTCTAATAGCGATTAAGATTGCACGGGGTAACAATTTCTATCGTTTTCATGTACTTACAATACATGTACTTTCGAAATTTTAAGGTTGTGAACGTTACTTTCGCACTACAATAATGATTGATTGCGTCTGCAGAAAGCTAGCATCTAAAATAAAAGCTAGCGTTGATGAGTTCACAACTGCTTGCTGTGTCAAAGCATTTGGGAATGGAACAATATTTACAGTAACACTTAAACCTTGAGGTTAGCTGTCTCAGCATTTAGGTTTAAATAGTACATTTGGCTTTTTTTCGTGGATTGTACTCTCAGATGAGGGAAATTAAAGAATAAAAAAAAATCCAGGCGACGCCCATGTGCGGTAATCCGTGTACAGTAAACCAATTATTATAAACCACCTATAATTCGGGATTCGAACTGTTGCGTTGAATATAGCGGGTCATGGTCACTCGGGATAAACACGATCTCTAAGTCAGCGAAGCCGTATTGATTCTTTGTGGTACTTTCTGCTATTAATTATGGCCAGTGCCACGTTTAACAAATTTTAAGGTAAGCAGCAACCTTTTGTACATGTCCGTCGCGTCACTCGTATCTTTATCCCAAGTTTGTGCGGGGACGAAATATCGTATGTCAGGGCGGAAATGACGTCATCTGATGAAAACATCTAATTCTTTGCCCACCAGTTTTCATCGGTTGCTATGTGTTACCATCCATCCAGCACTCCAGACTAAAGAACCATTGAGTTTCAAGAACAGAGGTCTGGGACCTAGATAAGCCAATGTAAAAATAAAATCCCGGATGTCCGCGCCCATCAGAATTCACAAACATGCAGTACATACAGAGTACAGCAATTTGCTGAGAGTCGGTATCACGTGACCAAAACATGCAATTTTGAAAATAGTTATGGCCCTAATTCTGAGGGGTAGTGCGCCCCCAAGGGTTCGAAACATAATTTCAGCTATAGGCTTAATGCTTCATCCGTCACAGATAACATAATGTATCGGTATCCCATACTGTGTATTTCTCTACGGTATACGTGTTGTGACTGATAACCCCATAACAGCATCATCACACCTTCAAAAACCCATCAAATCTGGTTCTTAATGGATTTATGATGGATGGAAATAATGAGTTGTTATAACGACCATTAGTCTCCTCAGTCATGGAAACTTTAATGGGAGTAGAGCATTAAGGCCTCCACGGTACCTCTGGGGGCAACGTACGTCATGGATCTGCTGTATAAGCACGGAAATTTGCTAAGCACAACGTATATATTTGCTTTACGAAACCACGTAATCGGAATATACGAATGTGTGATATGTTGCTTGTAACTTCTTTGTTCAGTAACTGAGCAATGTTTTCTGCTTTTGCAGTTCAGTGAAATTGGACTCTGTTTTTTGTTCAAGTTCTACTTTTAGATAAACTTTAATTTTCAAATGAAAGCATCGACCTCAACCCAGGAAGAACAGCTTTCCCCACAAAATGGGTATCTTAAAGATCCCGGGCCTGCAAAACTGTATATTTGAAATGTACAACCAAACAGACTTTTCTGATAATTTTGCTACATCTATTCCGAATTCCAAAATCGTCTTCCACTGAGATAAGTATACTGTAATTTGCCCAACCCGTAGGCGTCCGTTGGTCAAACCATGATACAGCCTATAGTCTAAGCTACACAAAGAAACCATCAAGGAATCCTAACGCAAATATAACATGTATATTCGAAGTAGGTAGACAATTGGTCGATGTAAAGTAGCGAAGGATAAGTGCCGTGGAGTACAACAGCACAATCGATAACTGGTAGTCGTCAGCTGCCTGACCACTAGACGTCAGACAAGATTTTGTTGACAAGAAATTTGCACCCTTATTAGATGGCCGACGATTTTCTCTCGGGTTACATGCAGATTCAAGGATGGTGCCTGTCTTAAACCGAAGTCCTTGAACCAATGTCAACCCATTGAAAGCCTTATCATTGACGTATGAGATCCATCGCAAAGCCTTCTGCTTATAAGACAGTTTAATTGCAAGGAGAATAATCGCATTGCCCTTGACCATTAGAGGATTCCGTAATTAATTAAACCGCTACGTATTGACTTTTCTGCTTAGAACTATAGTCTTCGTGAAACTCAGTCATTTAAGTTCAGTTTAATATCAGGCCCGTAGGCCGCAATCAACTGTTTTTAGACATGAAAAGGTCCACTTCGTGGTAAAAATGACTCTCCAATTCCATCCACCAGGCAAGCTACGGCCTTGGTTATGTCATACGTACCTCTAGCTGTACTACCACAGATTACATCAGCGACTAGAGTTTAACTTTTTTCCTCCAAACCTCTTGAAGTTGAACTGACGGATAATCCCACATTCTCTTCGAAAATGAATGCATAATGCTGTCTAACAGAATACGATACACGTTTAAAGTTTTAGATACTGTACTGGAATTAATTTCATTTCATTCAATTATGTCTGGTTAAATTTAATTACCATTCTACAGTCCTGAATTCCTGTAGTTTGGGTAGACCAGGCCTAACCAAATGATACGTCAAAATATTTAGCTCCATCCTTCTTTTATTTTTAACAGTGCTGTTTTCTATGATGTCTACATATTAAATATATATTATATCAGTATTAGGGCCCATCCATTAGAATATTAATATTTATTATGAGAACCAATTCTACCTCCACGTGGGAACCAACAGATATTATTAAGGACGAGCATTTAATCAGCACCGTGTCAAAAGCTAGTATTATGCAGCGCAAAGCCATAAAACATCCTTATTCGGGCAAAACACAACGACGCAGGGGGTCGCAATTCTTCTTGCGAGTAAAAAAAATTAGGCCTAGTCAAAAATTAAACCAAACTCACCTTTTACATCACTTCCAAGTCTTCTCAACGCCGTCGCAATGAAGAATATAACGGCCAGAAACATCAGCCTCCTTCCCATAAACTTTCCCCGTGTACGCCTCATATTTTTCCTAATTTAGTTCCACGATGTAGTTATGAAGCCCGAGACAACAAATCACAGCGGAGCGGTCTCTACTTGTTTGTGGGTATTTCCCGAGCTTTATCCCCGCTGCAGTGACAAGCAATAACACGCTGATTCCGTGCACAACCACACCACCTCCGGAGAAATAGCCTCATCGACCAGTAAAACCTTTGACTTCGTAGAATCACCAACGGAAGGAAACGTCAGGGCCTCAGTTGACACCAGCAGTTCGGGTTTTCCATAATCCAAGCCCAATGAATTCGTTGCCGAGAAATGTGGAAAAATATTTGTCCAAATGATGTAGTACACAGAGTGTATTCGTGTAGTATTGTGAGAATCAATGTTTGAATAGTGAGCACGGGGCATACACCGCACGCACACGGCACTTAAATTGACGTTTGCACCCGGCCTTTTATTTTACATACAATGTTTCTGCACTCAAAATACAGGCACGTGAATCTCCGGGTACGACGTAAGTACGCAATGTACATTGTACATGTGTGTATATACATGTCCATGTACAGGGATATGGCGTGCCAAACGTTGCAATATTCAAAGTTTTGCAAATATATGCGATGCTCAAAGTCCCATGTGCAATTTTTTTTATACAACGTGTCCACATGTATATGCAATGTTCAATGTATTAGTGCGATTTTAACAAACATATTTGCAATGTTCAAAACAGGGTGTAATGTTTTATAAATTTATATTCAATTTCAAATATGTGTGCTATTATGTTTTACAGTTCGCAAAGTCCATTATGTGTTCAATGTTTTTTTCATATACTTATGCATTATATATTCTATGCTCCAATGCAATATACAAATGTAATTATATTCAACAATGTAAAACGTTGCACACATATTTCAACGTTGCATATTTATTGAGAAACATAGAACACATGAACATTGCATATAGGCGCGCCGTGCAACCTGTGACGTCATACCAACGGACAGCCAACAGGTAACCCAAACATTGAAGTATTTTTGCATGTTACTTTGCCCACATAAAACAATTTTAATATGTCACCACTTTGGCACCAATCACATTTCAAGGGATGCGCATGCAGTACAGAAGAGAACAGTATGACAACAACATCTAATCTGTAAACAGATGTAACACGGTCTATAATACAAAGGAGGAAGGAAAACATATCACCAAAACATTGAACACATAATTATTAAACATCGCACAATATATTGAACATGATACTTGTAAAATGTTGAATATTGCAACGTTTGACACGCCATACACGGACGATGCTATGCGCGCTATGCAAGTCAGCTGATGAATAAAAATAATCTCTCAGCCAATTGAATGACCGGAATTGGTTTCCCATGGTGACGTGAACCCTGGGAAGTGACGTCAATACGGGGCATTATCAAGGAAAAAGAAATCGAGCTTGCTATGCACGGCTGAACTTTCAGGCCGACAATCCGCAGTAAAATGAGTGTGAAAATAATAACTCGCGGGGTCAGATTTGGTATCGTGGATTAAGTGTACAAAAAAAATATCAGGGGCCGCAAAATTGTCCTGTAATCTTGTGTGTGTGATATTTACACAAGTCCTTATGGGCAGTAATTGTGTACAATTCTATTCTTGATTTTTGTGACCTACGTCATACACGAAAGTTTGGGTGGGCATGGAGGGTATTTTTCATTCCTCCATGCATGGAGCGAGTAGTGCAGCACAGCCTAGGCCTAAAAAAGGACTGAAAACTAGGAAAGTGTGTGCGAAGTTCTGTATCAGGCGGAAATTATTTAGAGAAGATGCTAAAATACCAAATGAACCTGATGATCGTCCTATTTTGTCAGTGTTTTACATATTATGTGATTTTTTTTGTTTAATAGCACACCGTATGCATACACATAGCCTTGAATCCATGCATGAGAAACTAATTACATGCATAGCCATTTTCAGGACTCCACAATAAATATGAAAACAAAAATATTTTTCTGCTCCATGGACAGAAAAGGGTTGATGGTTGACCAAATTACGTTTGCATTTCTTTACACGTCTTCGTGGCCTTGGAGGGAAAACAATCAGTGAAGCGTAAAATATAGGCAGTAGCCAAAAATTTTAAACTGGTTTAACAGTCGGTCGTACTGGATGTATAAAGGTGACTGCATGGCAAATTTTCTCGCTAAGCAACAATCAGGTGGTACACTGGTAACCAATCAAAACCAAATGCATGTAAATCACATGAGTTTGGCTGGTATATAACCTGTTGTTGCGAACATAACTTTTCTGCGCTAAGCAAATTTCATAGCTAACTTCATGCTATGATCGAAGCTCCATGATGAATAAAATTCAATAAATTGGCGACAAAGGTTTAATTGCTTACCCATTGTGGTTTGAATTTTTCTAACCACATTTTGCCACATATTAGTAAATAGTGGAGAAAGAACAATAAAAACTGTAGTTATAAATATATTCAAATTGATCACACTTAATCCGAATTGTTTGAAATTCAAAATGTAGTTTCAGGACCACCAATGATTGGGCAATGGATTGGACCCCCGGCCCCCTCCGCACAAAAAATCAATCAATAATGATATTAGGTTTTGCCCTTCACCGACGTGTTTCCATCTTAGTATGAATAGTATAAATAAATAAAATTAAATATCCGGCCACTTTTTTTGGGGGGGGGGGGGGATCGGTCGTATAGTGCTATGAAACAATTTTCTTTTCGCCGTGAGCAAGCGGAGATCCAAATCCAAATTTAGTCACGTGGTTTTAAAGACGAGTCAGTCTGTGGTGGCTTTGAAGGGACATCGCAAATCGTGAATATTCACGTTAATATTCACACACAAAAATCACGACTTTCCCCAAATCGCGAATAATGACGTCAAAATTTTCCACAAAAATTCACGGTACCGTATCTCGACATTCGATATAGGCCTATATGAGTTTTTAAACGTCATTGCGAGGGCGGTATAATAATTTGTAATGGAGGCTAAAGCGGCGACGTTGCGCGGGAATCGCGGTTTGCATGACTTCACAATAATGTCAGGATTTGCCGGTGGGCGCCGCCGATTGCTTAGTTTAGCGTTGAGCAAACACAACCGACACGAGATCAAGTCTACAGGTTTACCTCAGTTGTATAAGCTAGCTTGCTTGATTTGGGGCAAATCGTAAACAAAAGTTTTTTGTCGTGAAATTTGACGTCAATATTTTCGATTTACGATGTCCCTTCAGAGCCACCATAGCAATCGGATTCAAGTTTAAGACGATGTACAGAACATTCATTCTAATGAGCTCCTTATGCCAATTTAATGGTAATGTAGTTTCGATGTAAAGGCCACGTTGTTGTTTCACCTTGAATCGTTAAAAATAGCTTATCACACTTTGACCGGCATAACAAGTCTAGTAATAAGCACCAAACCACAGGCACATATTTCTTTTCAACAGTCTCTAATCATAACCCAAGCTAGAAGACTTTTGTACTTGATTAAAGGTAAATAAATATACACCACATTAGCAAACATCAAAAAACAAATGTATTATTACATTATTATGAATATACAGTCTCAAGCATTCTGTGAAATCATGGAACTGCTGCTCATTTTCATCGACTACTTTTCTTCTCTGAATTATCATTGAGATAATTTTATATTAAGGGAAAAACAGAGAACGAGAACCTAAGTGTCTTGCAAGCAACGATTCAAAGGAAAACTGAATTATGCTTGACATTTGAGCAACCCACCTACGGAAAAAATCGGGAACGGGTGCAAGCCAACTAGTACGGTTCCCTGACCTGACAATTCCCCGACATATATAAATTGCTTCGATTCGTCTGAAGTAGGATCAGGGAACCAGACCAGATGAACAGTATTTCTGTTTTTCCATCCAGCATCTATGAACGCAACACTTTAAACACTTCACTGTAACAATAATACTAACTCCAAATCCATTTCTGAAATTACAGTAAAATCGAAATTGTGTATACATGTGTATTACCTTTCAAATATGTCTGTATTTTGTTATTTCAGTTCAATCCCAGACAAAAAAAAATCATCAGAAACATGCTTTTCATCTTCTCCCCAAATCAATAGCAATCAGGGACCTACTATAAGCGCCGCACGCGTATATTGAGATAAATTATTCATGATCAGTTCTGAAGAGTATTAATATACCGGTGTAGTGTGAAGTTTGGACTCTATGAAATGCAGACTCCTTAGTTGTATTGCGCATGCCTTAGTGAAGATAATTATGAGTGGTCACGTGTGTGGGTTATAATCCATATAAGTTGAAAGAGACCAGATTTCATAGGAGTCCAAATTTCATTTGACACCGGATACATGCATGGGGAAACCCCTACTGAAAGTATTTACAAAAACATGCATTGCATACGAAATTTGTATTGCGCTATAATTATGAATCCCAGAATGTGATGATCGCAACGTAGTTTTCCGAAAATAAATTACTGACAAATAATTTCCGTGAAATTTGTCCCGACTGCAAAGCGTTTTCTAGGCTAAAATATAATTTGTCGTTCAACGGAGCCGTACGTTAGCTCCACAGCCAACGTCTGGCAAGTGTGTAATGCAAATTTATGCGCGCCGGCCAATCGGAGTCGACTTTAGAAATTGTGACGTCATTGCGTGCAGAAAATGTGCACTAAGCTGTTGATTGGTCAATATCCTGCCATGTTTTTGGGTTAATACAAAAACAGGTTACCGAAGACCCGATAGAAGGGGCCCATTGAATGGTCAGAATCTGGAAGTCAAGACGTGCGCAGTGATGTTTTGCATAATTACAGAATCGCCGAATATCCAGGGATATAGACGCTTGCTTTGGAAGTGGCTATAGACTAAGCAATTGCCTCTCTGAGGGAGAATGTTTGGCTTTAAAATTAATCGATTTTTCCTCCGTGTTTAGAATGAGCAATTATTATGAACATGCTAAAACCCCATGCAAGTGTTGTTTTCTTCACCATCCGGCCGAGCACAAGCTGCAACCACCACGTGATTTTCGAAGAAATGCTGTGACTAATTGTTTGCAATGTGTGGCGGCCAAAAAACGTGGTGTTCCGCGAGTGCGAAGTGATCACCTGCCCCGATTCTTGCAGCTTAAACCTTGCTAAATCCTACAAAAAAAAAAATTGTTTATCTCACGTCAGAAAACATACATTGTTCTGCAGCAACCACAAATTTATTAGAAACCGAAGTGGAAAAAAAGTGACACATCGGACTTTACAGGCCATAATTATAAAAGGCCTATGATATAAGATCCAATCACGATACTCTAAGCAGGCCGAAGTCCGCGACATGCAATTCATGTATGTATAATACCATATAGTTCTAGGGTAATACTTTGTAGGATAAATTATGAAAGTTTATCGTAACTTCACAAGTGCCGGTTATGTTGTTTATACATAAACTCACGTCAAGGTGTAGAAATAAGTCGACAAATAAACAACGTCGATAAGCTTTGATATAGTACAAACATGGTTGCAACTCAT